AGTGACTCGGGGCAGAATTGGTCGCAGTCCCCAATATTTTTGCCCTGTTACCCCTGGGATAAAGCCTCCTTATGGATAGGGGTCAGGTAGAGGAAATGAGTCCCTGACCTCTCAGTCATAAGAGGTTTTTACCTCTTCTACTTTGAGTGAGAGAGGAGAAATGCTGGTAGCCTGTCTGTCCTAGTGACATTTGAGAAGACTTGATTGGTAGCCAAGAGAGGGAAGAGAAAGTCTGTATTCTTAGCTACACTCAGAGTGAGCTCTTGTCACACTATCTGGAGGGTAGATGGGGAAAGAAGTGGGTGTTGGCTCAGATGCCATGACCTCTCTGTTCTTACCGAGTGTTAGTAGACTTTCTTGAATAAATGTTCCTTCATTTGCTCTATGGCCTTAGGACAATTTCCAGAGACTTTAGGGTTTTGTGATTTTTTTTTATGTTTTTTGGGGTTTGGGGGGGTTTTGTTTGTTTGGGGGTTTTTTTTGGTAATAGTTTTGCTTATTTGGTTGAGGAATGTGTTTACAGAGCTCATTTTATACTGCCATCCCAGAATTGGAACTCTACCTTTGCTTTTGAAGCATGTTTTTTTTTTAGATAAAGAATTCTGAGTTGACAGGTTTTTCCTTCAGTGCTTTAAATATGTTTCCTTTGTCTCCTGGCCCCCATTGTTGTGGTGCTGTGATGTCTTCTCCTCCTATCCTCTACTCACTGGCTAGTTGGTGTTACCCTTTATCTTGGTTTGTTTAGATTTGATTGTGATGTCCATTAGTATGGTTTATGCTGAACACCTGCTTCCTTCCAAGAATCTGGAATTTTGACCCATGCTAGGCAGAGGATACCTCTGTGGCCAGCCCCTAACAAAAAAGTCTTGGGCAGGAAGTCCTTAATGAGCTTCTTTGGTAGACAACATTTTGCATGTGTTGTGACAACTTGTTGCTGGAGGAATGAAGCGCATCCTCTGTGACTCCCCTGGGAGAGGACCCTTGCAAGCCTGCACTCGCTTTCCCTTGGACTTTCCCCCACATGCTTTTCCCTTTGTTTATTTTGCTTAGTGTCCTTTCACTGTGTTAAATCATAGCCATGAGTGAAACTGCATGTGGAGGCCTCAGAGTTCTAGTGAATCCTCAAACCTGGAGGTGGACTTGGGTGCCCCCAACACACCCATTGTTGTTTTCCACTAGCCTGTTGTAGTTCAGGAGTCCGCCTGGGATTTGAGAGGGTTTATAATACTGTTTCAGGGGACTCCCCCTTCTGTGGGGCCCTCCTGTCTGTGATCTCCACTAGATTTCTAGCACTCTATCAACTCCTAACTCGGCCTTCTGACCCCCAAAGCCTGGAAGACTGCACTTTTTTTTTTTTTTTTTTTTTAGATTTTATTTATTTATTTATTTATTTATTTATTTATTTAAGAAAGAGAGAATGAGAGACAGCACGAGAGGGAAGAGGGTCAGAGGGAGAAGCAGATTCCCTGCTGAGCAGGGAGCCCGATGTGGGACTCGATCCCAGGACCCCAGGATCATGACCTGAGCCGAAGGCAGTCGCTTAGCCAACTGAGCCACCCAGGCGCCCTGGAAGACTGCACTTTCTATGTGAGTCCTACCAGCAGCCAACCAGGGAGTGCAGAAGCCCTTGGGTTCCCTTGTTTAAAGAGTCTAGTCCCTCCAGTGTCTACCAGCTTTTGGTTTCTTTACAGTGTTGTCAAATATTTATGTTTTTATTACTCCTTTACTTCTTGCAGTGGAACTGTCTGCCTGTGTTTTTAATGGTTAACAAATGTTCTTAGTATTTCAGGCAACTTTTCCTTTTCTTAATAGTAAACACAACTCTCAAATGGCTGGTGAAACACTTATCTTCCTCATATAAAGAGCTGTTGCTTTTCAAAGGTCCTGTAGAATTCTTTGATAAAAGCAGGGTTTTTGTTTATTCATTTTTTCCATAGTGATGCTCTGTTGTTCCAAATTTTCCAGCCATTGGTGTAAGACCCAAACCTGAGAAAAGCTTTCAGCATTTCTTGTGGTTTCAGAGTTATCCTGGCAGCCCGCTCCCACTGTTCTGACTGGGAGGAATCATAACAAGTATCACTGACAAGGTTATCGATGATAGCACAATGTGCCAAACTTTTCCTACTGTATTTTGCAACCTTGGTCTTTTCCCAGAAGCTGATATATTTGCATGCCTTGCCCTGATAAAATTTCTAGGCTGTTTGGTATTTAATGTAGCAATAGCAGAGTTACTCTTTCTTCCTACTCATCCTGAGCTCTTGAACCAGTTTGGGCTTCTCTGTGGGTTTTTGTTTCTGTGTTAGGGAACCTTTGTCCATCCATGTCTGGCTTCTGTGACTCTGTAGCACATTTCAGCACATTCCTGGGGCCACAGATATTAGGATGTGCTCTGAGGTAGGTGAAATGAATTAGGTGTTTGGAATGATCTTTTGCTTAATTTCACAGTTTTGCAAACCATCAGAGGACATTGTAGTGTTAAGGAAAGCCTTGTCTGATTTGTGTCACGTCTTGGCTTTTTAGATTGACTTTTAGAAGGAAATCCTAACAGAACTTTGGTCAGTTTACTGTGCCACAGGTAGTCAAGGCTATTGTGATTTGGATTCACCAGAATTCTACGGCACATGTGATTGTGGGTAACATAGCAAAACAATCTAGGTAATTTGGATAAGATTTTCATGCCTTTCTTCATTTTGTCTTGGGCTTTTAAGAATCTTAGTAGAACTTGTCTACGGTTCTATACTTCTGTGTTAATAAGTTTGTTTTATATAAAATTCTTTGCATTGAAATTCTGTAACTAGAGGTGGATACCTGTGCATATACTTTGAAAAGACTGTTTACTGAAACTCGTTTTCAGAAACGGCTGTGTTAGCAAGGAGAGGAAGAACACAAGGGGAAGGGACTGAAAACCTGAAGGAAAATTTATTTATGTGTTTCTCTTGGAATCAAGGTTTTCCTCCCTCACCACCATAAAAGCGCTCTGGAAATAATTTTAGGCTTAATAGTACGGTCAGATATTTTTGAATCTGGGTAATGATGCCTTTTTGTGGGAGACTTAATTTATTTTAGCCACTCAGACTAAGAATCAATAGGACTTTTCCTTTAAGCTTTCAAAGGGGGGAAGAAGGACATCTGTCAACTGTACTTCATGCTTCTGGACTGGAAATTGAGTTAGAAAGAAAACAAGTATTAAAATGTAGTTTCCTCTTAGGAGAGAATCTGTTTACACCTTGTCTTTAAAACTTTTAAACTGTTTCTGCTATGAAATTGATTCGTGTGGAATTTTCCAGAAATACATCTTTTACTTATAAAACTTTTCACAAGCAAAGGAGCAGGAAAAAAAAAATCACTTTTAAAGCTTTCCATGCTATATTATGGACCGTGTGGACTTGCATATGCAGATCCAACATTAGTTATTAGATAATAATCTACAGAGATTATTAGTTATCTCTGTAGAGATCTGTTAGGCATGAAATCTGCCACCTGCTGAAACAAGTCCTTTCTTTACCCTTAGTCCTTTATGCACGGAAGCAGTAATGTGTATTTAATTTTAGGCTTTTCTATACTTAAGGGCTTTAATTCCCTATATCCCAGGTAGACATATTGGAGAGTTTTTTTTGATGGGGGTGGATTTTGAGAGCGGGGGAAATGATGAGGTAAGGTATTCTCCCATTCTTCAAAAGTTTCTATTGTTGTACTCTAAATTAGCCTCTGTTATTTTGGAATGTTGGAGAACTAGGTATACCATTATGTCATCTGACCTGACCTGTAGGTTTGCCAGAAATTTATTGATGTTCTTGGTAATTAATGGGCTTAGACGTTGAATCCTTAATTAAAGAGCTGCTCTGTGGCTGTAGGCCTCTCCCTGCAAGGTACAGAGATGCATGCTGCCGCCGGGGAAGCAGGCTGATGGTTTTTATTTTAACTATAGAGAGGTTCCAACAGATTCTAAATATTTCCCCAATAACATGGGGTTATTATGTCAAATAGATTTTGTTCGCGTGAGTCATCAAAGATCTCCCATTCACACTTAATGTGAAGGTAGTACATATGTCACGGTAACTATCTTTTATGGCAAATTCATAAATTAGTGAATTCATAAATTAGGTATGGGATATATTGATCATCAAATTCAAAGATTAGCAGCATCTTCCTTTGAAGATGTTAGTGTAAAATTAGGTTCAGGGACGCCTGGGTGGCTCAGTCGTTACGCGTCTGCCTTCGGCTCAGGTCATGATCCCAGGGTCCTGGTATCGAGCCCCGCATTGGGCTCCCTGCTCGGCAGGAAGCCTGCTTCTCCCTCTCCCACTCCCCCTGCTTGTGTTCCCTCTCTCACTGTATCTCTCTCTGTCGAATAAATAAATAAAATCTTTAAAAAAAAATAAAATAATAAAATTAGTTCAAACCAGTATTTGGAGGTAAATAAATAACTGACCATTTCAGACCATTTTGTTACTGATACAGCATCACATTCTCTATGGACCTTTCTCCGTTTTAACCGAGTGCTTCTCATTGATACTTGCAATACTCACCGTTTCTTCCGTGAGCCAGTTCCACACGTCAGAGGCTCCGAGCCCTTTGTAGCTCGTGTTTACCACGGCCCAGCTAGTGCCCGAGGAGGGCCTGCCGTTGGTACCCTGAGGATGACCAGGCAGAAGGCTGCAGATGACTAGTCCTGTTCCAGCTGTAACTGAGAACCAACTCAGGTGGTCAGGGTCTGAGGTAAAAATAAAAACAGAGCCCCCTTTGAATCACAGAAAAATAGGCTACTTAATGTACATCCATGTATTCTGGGCATAAAATTTTAGCATCTTGTCTGACTTAATTTCAGGGAAATTGCTAAAATCCCCAATGTTCTGTTCGTATGCTTTTTTCAGCTTAGGAAAGAGATGGTCATTTTCTTTATCTGTGGTTTTTATTATTTCTGATGCTTCCTTATGAAGCTTGCCCCTTTTTTCCCCAGATAATACATTGACACCTCTTTCTTTTCTGTTTATAAACAGGTTGAAAGGATCGTTGACAAAAGGAAAAACAAAAAAGGGAAGATAGAATATCTGGTTCGGTGGAAAGGCTATGACAGTGAGGACGACACTTGGGAACCAGAGCAGCACCTGGTGAACTGTGAGGAGTACATCCATGATTTTAACAGACGCCACACCGAAAAGCAGAAAGAAAGCACACTAACCAGAACCAATAGGACCTCTCCAAACAATGCCAGGAAACAGATCTCCAGATCCACCAACAGCAACTTTTCTAAGACCTCTCCTAAGTCACTAGTGATTGGCAAAGACCACGAGTCCAAAAACAGTCAGTTATTTGCTGCCAGCCAGAAGTTCAGGAAAAACACAGCTCCATCTCTTTCAAACCGGAAGAACATGGACCTAGCAAAATCAGGTATAAAGATACTTGTGCCTAAGAGTCCCATTAAGAGCAGGACCGCAGTGGACGGCTTTCAGAATGAGAGCCCTGAGAAACTGGACCCCATCGAACAGGGTCAGGAGGACACAGTAGCACCAGAAGCAGCAGCCGAAAAGCCAGTCGGAGCCTTATTGGGCCCTGGTGCAGAGCGAGCTAGAATGGGGAGCAGGCCCCGAATACACCCATTAGTGCCTCAGGTGTCTGGCCCCGTGACTGCAGCCATGGCCACGGGATTAGCTGTTAACGGAAAAGGTGAGTGTCCAGGTGAGCTGCTCAGCAGGCAGCGGCCCTGTCGATGCCACGGGCTGTTTCTCAGCATGCTGGCGATTTTCTCAAGGTGCGTAGGCACCCGTTTCTTACATGTTGGTCTTACTCTAGAGGCCAGGCTGATGGAAGTCCAGGGAGGCTGTGGCCTGGAACCTCTGAGAGCCGGTGCAGCCTCTTTCTTTACTTGAAGCCTTTGGCATTTCTCTCTTCAATCAGCACTAGCTGTCTCTGTTTAATTTGTATCCACAAACCATCCCACCACATCGACTTGCTTTGAACAGTGTCTCCTCACTCTCAATCCGTTACACGTGGTATTTTCCTTTATAGCAGGTTTCTTTGTGAACCTTCATACAACTGAGTATGTATAAAGTCTCAGGTTAAGGGTCCATCTGAATTTTCTAAATGTGACCAGTATTGATTAGAAGTCACGAGCCTTATTTTGCTGACATATTTAAATAACTGGAAATGCCTTTCAGGTGAAGGTACCAATCACCTAATAGAACCTATGGGACTTTCATTTGTTCGTCTGTAATCATCAACTGTTCAGATCCCATTGTCCCTTTTTCAGAGTAGGAGTCCACTCAGCAGGGGTGGGTATTTTCTGTTGTGTTTCAGCTCCTGGATTCTGCAGCTTAGTTGGTTGTGCCCTGGCCTCCCCAGTTCCTAAGACTGCACAGCTGGGATTAGCACAGACAGCCCCTTTCCCCTGACTGTCCCCATGCCTCGGCGAGCCACCGATTTTTATAGAGTTCTGTTAGGGGTTTCTCTGATGTGAGCCCCACTAGTTTGGCCTCACTTTGGTCCCTGGTCATTTCTTACCTGCCATAGTTTTCTCATTGGTCTCCCTGCTTCCTGCCTGTTGATGGTTTCTGTCCATTTTCTGTAGTTCTTGGAGGGAGGTGGGGGAGGGGCATCCCCGTCAGCAGTCCGATCTGGCCACCGTTGTTTTAGTTAGCAGGCATGCTCCTGAGTCTCTGCTTGGCCCTCACCGCTCTCAGCTCCCTCTCTTCCAGCAGCATCATGCCTCCCCTGCGCCTCGGTCCCCTCTGGAGCTCCCACTCTACCTTCTGGTTCAGGACCCACATGCTCCTGCATCCTCTGGTCTCATATGCCATCCATGTCCTCTGTGCTGCAGTGTTGTAATTGTATCTATCTGAGTGTCCCCGCCAACTCACCCTTAGTGAAATAAAATAAAGTGATGTTGGTTTGGAAGGAGGGGAGCTATTTCCCTTAAGGAGAACTGTTCACCTGAGACACTGCTCTATCCATCTTGTTGTGGTGCATCAGTGAGTTTTGGTTTAGACCTTTTGTGTAGCAATGAAGAGGGAGGGATCTAAACTGAAATCTGGGGTTTCCCTTTGGACAATAAATTGCCATTTGGCTAGTATTTTTCAGATAACACTTTACCCAAATGCTGCTTTTCTTCCTTACTCCAGAAGTTTAACCCTCACCTGGAACTTGTATGAGCTTGTTTAATATTACTGAGTTGACTTCTCACATTGTTGACCTGCTTCTTTCACCTCGCTATAAATGAAGGATCATAGAGGCTCAGGGGCAGAAGAGATGATTAGCCATAGAATTGCGTGCTCTGTTTCACAAAGAGGGCAGTCGAGTCCACAGAGACTGTGGTGTTCAGAGAGAACTGAAGGCAGAGATGGAATCAGAACACGTTCCTTACTTCCTGCTCCCATGTTCTCAGCTTTGCTTGCTGCCTCCACTGGACGAGGAGCATCTACTTCTCTATTGATGACTCAGGGCCAGGCACTCCGCTGGGCTGTGTGCAGCAGATAAGGGCTGGGCGTCTGCTGACTCCAGGCCCGCGGATGGCAAGCCAGCCCATGGGCCAAGCCCAGCGCCCCGCCTGTTTCTATACGGCCCGCAAGCTAAGAATGGCTTTGACACTTTCTAATGTTTGAAAAAAAATCAAGAGGAATAATATGTAATGACATGTTGAAAATATAAGAAATCCAAATTTCTGTATCCATGAAGCTTTGGGGGGTTTTTTGTCTTGTTTTGCTTTTTAGAGAGGGGAGAGACAGAGACTGTTTTTCTGTTTTTGGAGAGACAGAGATGGGGGAGGGGCAGAGGGAGAGAGACTCTTAAGCAGACTCCACGCCCAGTGTGGAGCCCAATGCGGGGCTCCATCTCACAACCCTGAGATCATGACCTGAGCCGAAATCAAGAGTCAGACGTTTAACCAACCGAGCTACCCAGGAGTCCCTCCATAAATAAAGTTTCATTGGAACACAGCCACATTCGTTCATTGACTTTTGGTCTGTGGCTGCTTTCTAGTTACAAGGACAGAGTTGAATCATTATGACTGTGTAGCCTGCAAAGCTGAAAAAATTGGCAGTCTGGCCCTTTACAGAATAAGTTTGCTAATCCTTGCTCTAGGAAGTCACAGTCCTAGGGCCGTATTTTTGGAAAGTAAGGGAACACAAAAGGCTTCAGAAGATCTGTGGTTCCACTTTGTCCACAAAAGTTGTGTGTACATACACTTTTATGGGTGGCGTGGGGTCATGATTTTCAAAACTTTTTTGACTCTAAAGTTTCCACGTTTTGTCTTTACCACAGTCGTGCAGGCTTGGCTGCCCTCAGCAAAGCCTCCTGTTTCGTATAAAAGGAGGGTAATGGCTTCTGTTTAAATAAGGAGTTAGTGGTTTCCTTTTTTATTCTTCTTCCCATTTTGAAAACATTTTTTCACGTCCATAAAGGTGGCTTTGGTTAAAACCACCAGGGATGCATGAGCATAAATTCTTGAATTATTTTATCTTGTTCTGTGGAGTTAGATTCATTGATTAGGTTGGGAGTACCACTGTATGTGCAAAGCCCTCGTGACCTCCTTTCTCTCCTGGCCCTGAGTCCTATGTACTGTTGAGAATACTCTCTCCGCTTAGAAGAACAGAAGCCACTCAGGAAGATTTTTTAGGACAGTGGTAAGTAACATGGCCATGATCTAAATCAGGCTTGCAGATTAAAAGGGAAAAGAACCATCTCCTCTTCCCTCTGGAGCCTCCCATTGGAGTGTCCTTTCTAAATGAAATATGATGGCAAAAGCAAATGGTGTCTTAGACAATATGGCCACCTGTGGGCAGATGCTTCAGTGGGGCAGTGCCTTTGCTTCTCCTCACCCTTTCCCTTTGTAGAAAGATGCTTTCGTTCCCTCCTCTAGAAAGTAAGCTCCAGGAAGGGATTTTGTTTTGCCAGGGCTAAATCCTACTATGTCCAGAGAAGTACCTGTGCATAGTAGGTGCTCTGCCAATGTTTGTGGAGGAAACAATTCAGGAGAATGGGTGCTCACTGAAGACAAGGATTGTAGTAAGTTCTTTGTAGCCCTGTGGCTGGGTCACACTCAGTGTGAGGGAAGAAATGCTATTGAAATGACCAAGTATGGAGGCGAGAAGTACAGGAACATTCTCCAAAACCTATTACTAGCCCTCGGGGTGTTTCTTTCCTGAGAGAGGAGTATTGAAGCTGTGTCAGGCTGTTGGTCCACACTCATAATTTCTTAAAGTAGTTGTTTGTTTTTACTTTCCACATCAATTTTAGGGCTACATAAGAAAACTGATTTGTTTTTTTAAAACTAATTGAAGCAGATACTTGTGGAGTCACTGGGAAATGAATCATCTTATTCAAAACATTAATCATGTGTGTATGAGGGATATTTTTGCCACCAAACACAACAGATATTTAAATATCTGTTAACCAAGAGAGTAAATGTTTCTGGAGAATTTTAACACACACGATTGCTTTTACAGAATAACCATATGTATATTTGGTTTGTAACTGTTTTAAGTATGAGACAAAGGTTTAAAAAGATGACTATATTGCTTCATTCAGAAATATGAAAAATTTTAAAGCTTAGGTGATATGGTTGTCTTCTTTATATTAATAAGTTAATGATAGTATTTTCTTGGTCTTTTAATGGCCTAACAAATTAATCCTACAAAAGAAGCAACTGCTTTTAAAAACTGGATTATTGTTACTTTGTTCTTTTATGAACTCAAATATATAATTGTTCATCGTTTGACAAGTATGACACTTGAGAAAACACTGTTAACACACTCTTTAAAAAAATGAGGTCTTAAACCCCATCAGTGTTACTGCGTAGGGTTGCTGCCAGAGATTAAGCCAAAGCCAGCAGATTCAGGAAGAAAGTGAAGAGGTACCTTAACATACCACAAGTCTTTCATCCTGTGAGCATTTCTTTTTTTTTTTTTTTTTGCAGTCCAGACAGGAAATGGCTTTTTTTTTTTTTTTTTTTTTTTTTTTGGCGACTATGAGCATTTCCATCCAAGAAGGCTCCCGGGAGAAATTGTTCAGGAAAATTTGGTTTCTTCTGAGGAGCTGGAGTGTAAATTCCCCTTAGTAAGAATATGAAGCTGATCATCTGTCTCCCTTCTCTGTTATTATCAGGGAAGCTGTTGTTCCAAATCAGTAGCTCCACCCACACAAGAGGCCCATGGTCCCCTAGGGCCATTTATGATTGATGTGCTGAGATTAGAGTTTAGCTCCAGGGAAAGTTAAGAAATCAGGAGACCAGTGGCAGGAGCTGTTCAGCAGGCCCCAACGGGAGAAGTCTACCTGGAAAAAGAGCACAGTTGAAGCTGTCCCTAGCAAGCAGTCCATTGACCGTGCCAGTGAGGGGTTGATCACAAAGGACTTGCATTGGAAACCAACAAACATTTTCTGGAGCCTCTTGTAAAATGCGTTCTATGCTAGATACTTCCGCATGTCTTATCTCACTGGGAACAAACCTACTTATACGTAGAAAGATTACAGAAGCTAAAATTGAACCAAAGTGGAGTCAAGTTTTGAGGCAAGCAGATAGCAGCTCTGCGCCCCGCAAAGCGGTGACTGGGGTGCCTCAGGCAGAATGATATGGTGACCCAGACAAGATTGTTCCTTCTTCGTGAGGGGGAGCTCAGTGGGCTGCAGAACTCTTCTGTTTAAGCATCGAATGGCGTTTTAGGCACAAAGCTCTTCGAGAAGATCTACTCATCCAGCAGCAGTCTGTTAGCGTAAAAAGTTGGTCACCTCTAGGAATCTTTGAGGACATACCAACCATAATCGTTTCATTTTAAAAAGTTAAAAATGGGCACCTCTTTGCCACTGATGTAGAGCCAAGGCCTTTAAAGAATGGGGTACTTTGCTTTGCCGTTTGTTTGGTGAGTCAAGCCCTTTTCTTTGGGTATGGATCCATGGACTAGAGTTCGGTTGTGTGGGAAGTGCATCCATAACACAGCATCTGCTGTTGCCATTGCAGATTTCGTTGAGTGGAGCAGAAACTTAAGTGCTTACAAATCTGAGTGCACAGTCCTGGGATATTTTTTTCATTTTTCCCATTTCCTCACTTAACCTGATTCAACAATTATTTTCACTTAGAGTCTTTCCAGAGCATTAGACATCATTTCCCTTGAGGCCACAGCTCACCTCTTGTAATCATATCTCCGATCTTATGTAAAAATGATTAAATATGATAACCCGTTCAGCTGGCCTAAGAAGTTCAGGGGATAAAGCCAGCCTGCTCCTGACCAGCACACATCCCAACAGGAGCAACACTGGCCTGCTACCAGAGGACCCCCCCCCAGCCCCTCCATTTCCAGGGTTTGATGGCATTGTTCAGGGGTGATTAGGGCTTGGGGAGGGGGTGACCCAGCGAACCTACTTCAGAGCCATTGTGACTGTTTAGTTTTCTCTTTTCGTCTCCACTCTCTTGAGTATTTCTTCCTATACCAGTGGTTCTCAAAGCGTGGTGCCCCAAGCAGCCGCGACAGGGGGACTCTGGGGGCCTGTTAGAAATGCAGGTCCCCAGCCAAGCCCCCCTCACGCCTCCTGAATTGCAGTGTCCCCTGGGCTCAGCAGCCTATTTCCCACAAGCCCTCCGGGTGGCTCTGGTACTCGCCAAAGTGTCGCAACGACCCCCCTGTACCGTGCTTTATTTTAAATTTGGTTTTCTAGAGCAAGATGGGACATAAATAAAAACACTCCTAAATTCTTCTGTTTATAGTATATTTTAAGATTTCTTATGGTTAGATCCTATTCTCTCGTGAGGTTGCTTGTTAGCCTTAGTATATCTTGATTTAAAATTGTCTTCGGGCTTTTGTGATTTGGTTTAATAAATATTTATAATTAGAAATTTTAAATGGCAGGAAAGCATTATAAAATAAAGCATCTCAAAGAAAAAAAGAAAAATAGAAGCACCCCCCCAAGCCCCGCCTCCTCCTCTCCAGAGAGAGAGAACTGCTGTTAACAGTTTTTTCCTTCCAGAAATTTTATAAACATGCATATTTTTTAAATACATCAGTGAGTTCATACTTGTCATACAGCTCTCCAACTTAGGCTTTTGTTTTTAATTTTGATATATCTTGGATATATTTTCATATCCACACAAGTAGCCCTACCTCATTCCTCTAACATGTTTGTGGCTATTTATTGTGCGAGTATATAGTCTACGTACCTGCCCCCCCCCCATTCAGTGTCCGTATTTCTCAGCAGGGGGTGCTTTGGCATTTGGGCCTGGATGCTTACCGGTTTAGCATCCTGGGCCCTGCCCTTAAGATGCTGGTAATGGCCTCAGGCATCGTGACAGATTGCTGTGTCCTTCCCATCTACCTGCGCTGGGCTTGTGTCTGGGTGCATCCACTATGTGAGAACCTCAGCGTAGACATTAAGAATTTTTTTTTCCACACAGATGAATACATTTTATCAGTGTTGCAACAGCAGAAATGTTAATGCACCTCCTGTCTTAAACCTGAGTAATCCATAAATACTATGAATTTTTATACAAGTAGTTTAGAAGTAACGTTGAGCCTGATAGGAAAGTTTACCATTACCGCCTCCCCAAAGGGAACATTAGTAGTTTGACAGCTTTCCTTTCAGACCTTGTACATATTTATACTCTTTGATATGGAAT